TCTCCCTGTTCCTGGAGCTGCTCAGCAAACCCAGGAATGAATTCACTCTTCTGCTCCCCTTGCTGGCTTCTCTTCTACCCTTTCTCATCTGAAACACACCTGCAAAAATGATTTTCCTCACCTTTCCTTCAGATTGGGATTAAATCCTACCTGTTTCAGGGAAAACCTTCATAAAAAAATTCTGTTCCCACCAGGGAGGCCCTACAAAAAGCTTGACTCTTTCCTTCCTGTCCTCCTGGATGCAAACATGCTGATCTGCACTTTGCCAAGCTGCTAGCGACTCATTTGGCTCCATCTTCCCTAAAAAGGAGATCCAACAGGAAAAACATGAAATACTCCTTTATAAAAAGTGACATTTGCAGCCCCTCAGCCTCCCCCCATGAAATGCATAAATGTTTTTCTCAGGTGAAAAAGCCACCAGCTTCCAGTGGCTCCGTGCTGCTCCTCCCTATCCCGAGGAATCCCAAAGCAAGGACAGGGATCCCAAACCTGTGCTGGGCTTTCCCACCTGTGTTCCTGCCCTCTGGGGGACACACACGGCACAGGGAACAGGATCCCAGTCCTGCCTCTCCCTCCTGGGTGTGTTCTCATCTGCAGGCAGCCAGGTGGGACTGGCAGGCAGAGCTCCAGGAGCGGAGCTGCCAGAGGAGAGTAAATTCCCATTTCCCATCTGCACGGCCCAGCCTGGGCACAGCTCCCCACCTGCTCACTCTGGGTGGGAAGCTCGGCAGCCTCGCCCAGAACTGAAACTTTTCCAGCATTTAAACCTCTTCCCACATGGAAATCACCACCTGGAGCAGCAATTCTGTGTGGCACTGTCACCCCAAACCCCGCTGAGGCTCCTTTATCCCGTGCATGTTGGAGTCCTGCATGCAGAGAATTTGAAACTTTCTGTGCTGAAGGGCACAGAGCCACAAGAAAATACTATATTTGACCTGAGGCTGTGGAGAAAGCTTCCAAAGTTGATTGACAGCACTATGGGTTTGTAGTTTGATTAGAAGTCTGTAATATCACAGTGTGGAAAACTTAGTGTTTAAGGTTTTAAAATAAAACAATATATATGGGGCAAGATAGAAGTTTTAGGGCAGTGGCTAGTTGTTCTTCCTCACCTTCTTCTTAATAAGTTTAAGTAGTATTTTGTAATTAGACAAAAAAGCTCACATTGCAGACTTTGAGTGATGAGTTATTAAGTTAAAAGTAAAAATAATTTAGGTGTCATTTCTTAACTGGATAGTTTAGCCTCAAAAGACCTTGTATAAAAAGATAGTTGGTCATTTTGTAGCTTGTTAGCAGAATGCTGTAGAACTCACCACTTGTAAAAGAAGTAAGAAATAATAAACACCTAAATCTGAACACAAAATATCATCTCAAGAGCTTCAATCCCAGCCTTGAGAGAAGCAGGAAAAAGAAGCCAAAAGCCAACAGCACTGATGCCTCCTTGCTGGGCTTGTGAAAGCAGGGAGCTCTCTAATCCCCCCTGCCCACGTCAGACCCTAATGCTCCTCACAGATCCTGGCTCAGCTCAGCCCTGAACACAGCCCCCTCTGCTTGTGTGGAGTGCAGGATTGGATTTTTGGGATGGAGAAGGGCAGGACTCTGGGTGGGCTCCTCTCAGCGCCTCCTTTGTGCCCCCAGGAGCATCTCCAGCAGCACAAGGAGGAGATCCAGCACGGAAATCTGCTCTGGGGACAGGAAAAGAGCAGCCAAGGGGGACAAGCAGGATCCACTGGACCTCTGGTCTGAAATTAATTCCCTGGTTATGGCTGGATCCCACACATCCTCCACAGCTTCTTCTTCTATAACAACTATTCCCACTGCTCCTCTTTCCGGGCCCTGGTTTGAATCCCAGCTGGAGCTGGAGCGTTCCACTCCTCTCAGCTGCCACAGCAGCCCCGGGCTGGTGCTGTTGAACCCAGGCTGGGCAGGGAGCTGCCCTGCCCCTCCCGGGGCACAGCCCTGCCCCTCCCGGGCAGCCCTGCAGGCACGGCCCCGCCAGGAGCCTCATCAATATTTCAGCATCAGCCGGGAAGCCCTGGCAGCTCTCAGGGCCCCACGATCAATGGCAAACAAAGGGCGGCTGCGGGAGGAGGCTGCTCCAGCACGGCACCTCCCCAGCTCCTCTCGCTCCAAAAGCAGCTCCAGGGCACAGGGTTGTTCTCAGCAGAGCATTTCCCAGCATTTTCAGGGCCTGGTGCTGCCACACTCCCCTCCTCTTGCTCTCCATATCCCTCTGTTCAATACCAACCACTTAGGAACAAAACCATCTGAGGCTCTGAGTGTGGGGTCACCAGTTCCTGCATCCCCACTCGAAGCAGATGCTCCTGAGGAGCAGGAAAACCTTAATGCACTTAGCTGGCTTGACACTGCCTGGGAGCAGGAGATCTTGTTTCCTTCAGCTGGGAATGGAACAGATCACAAGATTATCCACAGCCCTTTCGCAGTGCAGCCACGTTCCTGGGCTCCCTGCAAGATATCCAGCCCTAGATTCCAATGTTTCCATGAATATTCAGAGGTCTCCTCTTTTTAGCCATCCTGGTCATCTTGTATGGTTATTATTATTCAGATAATTCCAGAGAAGGGATGGAAAAATTGCCATAGTGAGAGAGAAATGAAAAAAAAATAAAAAAAAAGAGAGTAATTACACTAAATGGCTAAAATCAGGACTGAAACACCTTGCCTGACCTCCAGACATTTTCAGAGAAATCAGGGAATGGTTTGGGTTGGAAGTGAGTTAAAGATCATCTCATTCCTGCCATGGGGACACCTTCCACCATCTCAGGTTGTTCCAAACCTGTCCAACCTGACCTTGGACACTCCCAGGGATGGGGAGGTGTCAAACTATCTCCTTTGCCTTATCAATAAGATGGAGATAAATTCCTATCCTACCCTTCCAGATAGGTTTTTTTCCTCAGAAAAGTCCTGCAGAAGGGTCAGAGCATTCCCAGAGAGAAGCATTTATTGGGAATATCAGCAAATTAAGACCTTGCAAGCAACAACGAGAAGGGGAAATTTGCTGGTTAGGACCACTCTGGCTGTGGCAGTTTTCCCCAAATCACTCCCAATTCCACCTCCTCTGGACAGAAGGGCACAGAGTGGATTTTTCCCACTGCATCCATCAAATGGTGTCCAGGAGGATGCTCCCACTCCGGCTATGGAGATAAATCCTGCCAGCAGTGAATCCATCTGCTCTGCCTCCCCAGACAGAGACAGCAGCAATGGATACCAGCATCTCCTCCATCCCTGAGGGAGATCTATTAGCTGGTTACGTAAGGAAGCAGCAGCATGGAGCTTCCAAGGACTCCAAAGCCCTTCCCCTTAATACCACCGGAGATTAGAGCAAATCGAAGGAGAGTGGAAAGCAGGCGAGGGGCTGTGGGCGAGGTTGTGCTCACAGGAAAATGCTGCAGCCTCTCCTCTTAATGCACTCTAAATCCCATCAGATTTCCAACTCGGCTGCTAGGAAAAAAAAAAAGGAGAAAAAAAAGGAAAAAAAAAAAAGCCCAGCCTGTATTGAAATGATGTCAGCGCTGGGAGAGTGAGGTGGAGTGACTCAGGGAGGGTGTGGAGAAGGGGAGTTTGAGGGGAAGCATCCAGAGGAATCCAGACTGTGAAAGCATTTTGGAAGCAGCCAGGGGTGCAGATCTGCTTTTCCAAATCTGATTAGTTGCTGCTTTTGAGCATCCAGGGTCAGATCCTGCCTCTGATAAACACATAGCACTTATCGCCCTCACGCCAGGCTGCCGGCACAATAAACACAACCCTGCTCTTCCCTCGGTGCCAGATGCATTCTCAGCTCCGGGGACAGGGATTTCCCTTCATTTCTGCTCCCTCTTCAGGCTGGCTGACTCCACAGCAAGGGAACAAAACCAGCTCCGAGTCAAGTTCTCTTCCCTCCTCTGCTGCAAACTGAACATCGACGTTTCACACGGAGCGCGCTCCCGGCTGGATGAGGATCCCGATGGAAGGCAGCTCTCACCTGAGCAGGTTTCTGCTTTCGTGCAAAGTGACAGCTCTGCCACCCAGCCACACGTGCTTGGCCCCTCTTTGACAATTCCTGTCCAAACAGCCTCACCCTCGAGGTGAGGTTTCTTAACAACTTCACCCTTTGTGCTCTCTTTCCTGGCGGATTTTGACACACCTCCTTCACCTAACCCAAACAACCAGTGGGTCTTTTCTTGGGGAATTCCATAACAACCAGTCTGAGCTTGGAAATTATCCCAGAGTCAGGCTGGAAAAGACCTCTGGGATTACTGAATCCAACCTATGACCCAACACCAAGGCATTCAGTGCCACGTCCAGGTGTTCCTTAAACACCTCCAGGCTCAGGCAGAAGCGCAGGACAACTAAAGGCAGTGGATGAGCCCCAACGAGGCACATTTTCGTATTCCATTCATCTCTTGAGTAGATTTTATAGATTTACAGTTTTATTTCTAATTTGAAGAGCTGCAAAAGTCACCAGACTTGGCAGAAGGCATAGAACAGGTGAGAAATGCTACAGAGAATCCCTGGAATCAAGAGATCAAGAGACTGTGGGACCGTGGTAGGAAGATGGAAAATGAAGCGGGAGGAAAACAACCTGAGGCTGACTTAGGAATAGCCACCAAGTACAGAAAAAAAGCCTTGAGAAGGGCAGGAAATAAGTAATAAAATGTTGGTTTAAGAGTTCTGGAGATGAGCTTATTATGGCACCAACTAAATGTGTTAATTGGCTGGTCCTTCCTGTGCTGGGCACAGACACATATCACAGCTGAGTTTTCCCAAAAAACCTAAGGATGTAGAGCGAGCTGGCAAAGGAGGGAAAGATCAGCACCATGGGAGCAAAGGAGTTAATGCTCCCATTCCACACTGAGATTAAAACTCACAACTGGTCAGTGACCCCCTGAGCGAGGGAGGAGCATTTTACCACCCAAACTGTGCCATATCAGTAAAAAGAGAGGAAAATGCCGTTTTTAAGAGTCTAAACAAAAAAAGCCTCAACAAACCCTTTGCAGAGGCCTTACCATTGGCATCCTGGACTCCTGTGAGCGCTCCCACTGCTGCTGCAGTTTCCCCAGACAGGACAATCTGTCCCCCTCCCTGAAGGGTGGCCTCGGCCAGCGTGGCTACGGCGTGGGCAGCGGCTTCACTGCAGAGGGAGACAGGGGTTAGGAACAGCAGAGAAACAAATAAAATAAAATAAAACTCCATTTAGCCAGCAAACACACACCAGGAGAGCAGCCCAGGGCAGAGGGATTCCTATCTGGCCCAGGGGAACTGATGCACAGCAGGAAATCAGCACTGCAGGAGGAAGGGATGGGAAGAAGCTGCCTCTGGTGGATTTTTTCAGGTCTCTTAGAACAGCTCTGTGCTCTCCCTTTCCCCTAGGGCTTGGATAAAACTTTGGGACAATTCCATGTGGCTCCTTCCTGCCCCTGCATTCAGGTATCAGACTTTGGCACTGGCACATCCTGGGGCTCTGCAGATTTCAGAGCTCTCCCTGGTTCTGCCCCTTCACCTCGCCCTGCTGCCATGACCAGCATCACCAGCTCTGGCTTCAGCTCCTCCCCAGCCAAGTGGCTCAATAATGCTTTTTAATAATTCCTTTTGATAATTCCTTTTAATGTGGCATGGATCATTCCTGGGGCTTGATCACTCTTTTCTGTTTGAGTGGTGAGTGCTTCCCACACTGTCCAAGGTGTGAATGCACCATCAGTTATTCCTAAGCCTGGCTTGCCCTTAATGCCTTTCCTGATATTTCCTAATATTCAACTTATTTTGACAATATCTGCTCAGCAGTAGTAAAACATTCCTAAAGTCAAATTTCCTACCAACTCCCACCTGAATTAAGCAAAAAAAAAAAGTAAGGATTGCCTTTAGCTTCCCCATGGATGCTCTCCCTCTGCTCATTCTCTGCTCGACCAATTGACTCAAATATTTTCCAACTCTTTTCCCATATTTTTCCTTTTCTTCCCTCATTTCCTGCTCAGATGCCAAACACTTTCCTACTGCATCCACTCAGGGTGGATTTTCAGTTCTCAACAGCCCCTCTGTGTCTCAGAGCAGCTCTTAAACACTCGTAGAGAACCAGAATATTTTCTTGCCTGGCTTCCCTCCTCCCCTTGGCACATCCCTCTCCTTCAGGAGCTCTGGGAAGGCATTTTCCCTGCAGGAAGGCCCAGGGCAGCTCAGCAAACCTGGCATCAGGTGTAAGCCCATGCCCAGCCTTCCCACTTCTTAAAAAAAAACCCATGTAGGGAAATTTGGAATCCTGGAAATGTGCAGGATAAAATCCTGCAAGTTTGATTTGGGGAGATGGGGCTTTTTCTGTAACTCCAGTGTCCTGGAAAGATAATTTGGTTTTAAAAGGGAATTTTTCAGGGAAATATTAGTAAAAAAAAGCCAATTTGACCAACCTCATGTAGCAGACAAGAAATATCTGAAGGACCCAAATCTGCATCATAAAGAGCAGAAACAGTTCAAGGTGGGTTTGGGATTCAATCCCAACAGAGATTTGGGACCAAACCGGGATCCAAGTGATTCCTTCAGCAATTTCTGGATGGAACAAGGTCTTGGAGCTTTATTCCAGGTACCAGCAGTGTGGTCTGGTGCCCTGTTCCACCCCCTGACTGCTCAGCCAACAGCCTCTAACCAGGATCCTGGTTTGGATGAGGGAAATTCTTGTCCACACCTCAGCAGTGGGAAAGCTCCTTCACTGCTGTGCTGTCATTTCCTATCCCTCAGGAATGGGATATGGGAAATGGGATAAATGGGAAATGGCCACGGCCATTTCCAGGTTTTAGGAACAGCAGGATGAGTTTAAGCAGCTCAGCAGAGCTGAGCCAAGATATTTCATCCTGCTGGATGGACCTGTGGAGCTACACCTCAGATCTTGCTAACCTGACTGCAGCCAAAACCCCTAATAACCACTGCAGCTCCTTCAGCTTCTACTCCAGAAATATTGGGGGGAAAAAACCCCAAAACCAGTGATCTATGGAGGAAATTCTGATTCTGACCAAAGCAGGAATCAGAAGCTGCCCTGCACACACCACCCGCCGCATGAATCCACCGAGGAAAAGCCTCTTTCAGGACTGAACAGGGTGAACTGTGCCCCAAGAGAAGGAAAAACCCAGGCAGGAGATGCCAGGCTGAGGTTGAGGCAGCTGTGCCCTCTCCAGGTACCTGTTGAGTGCCATGGTGACAGTGGCTCCCTGCTGCATCTCCTGCGACGCCGCCACCGCCGCCTCGGCTAACGATGCCACCGCCTGCGTGGCCTCCGAGGCCTGCGTCGTCTGGATGGTCATCTCCCCTCCCTGCAGCGTGGCCCAGTTCTGCTCCACCTGCAGGGAACACAGCACAGGCTGTGGGATCAGGAGAACCCCCTCCAGGGGTGGCTGATTGCCAAAAGAAAAATGGGTTGGTTTTCACAGAGTCCTGCAGTGTCCAGCTCTGAGAGCGGGGAAAGGGAGGGAGGTTGGGACCCGGCTGAGGATGGGCTGGGCACTGCAGCCCTGCATCAGCCATGAGGCTCACAGTGTGTAAAGATCCAGAAAGGTCCTCAAAAACCCAGAAATCACAGAACTCACAGAATGACCAGGTTGGGAGAGACCTTCAAGGCCATGGAGTCCTGCCCAGCCCCAACCCCTCAGGCAGCCCCAGCATCCACACCCAGGGATGGGGACTGCACCACCTCCCCGGGCAGCCATTGCAGAACTTTATCCCCTTGCTGGAAAAGCTTTTTCCTGCTCTCCAGCCTGGATTTCCCTTGGCACAGCTGGAGGCTGTGTGCTCTGGTTGTGTCAGTGCTGCTGGAGAAAGAGCCCAAGGGCAGCTGAGCCCAGGCACCTTTCAGGAGCTGCAGAGAGCGATGGGGGCAGCCCTGAGTCTCCTTTGCTGCAGGCTGAGCACCCCCAGCTCCCTCAGGGTTTGTGTTCCAAGCCCTTCCAAATCTCTCTTGTCCTGCCAAATCCTCAACAAAACAGGGCAGTGGTGTTGTTGTTGTACCTGGATCACTGCTTGCCAGCCTGGGCTGTTTGTTAATTAGCTGTGATTAATGGCCATCAATTAAAACACAAGTTCCACCTCACCATGAGGAAGAACTTCCTTCCTTCCTTCCTTCCATGGAGAGTGGCAGAGCTCTGGAACAGCTGCCTGGGGAAGCTGTGGAGTCTCTCTGTCTGGAGACATCCCAAAGCCACCTGGATGTGTCCCTGTGTCACCTGCTCTGGGTGTCCCTGCCTTGGACTGGATGATTCCCAAAGGTCCCTTCCAACCCCAGCTGCTCTGGAATTCTGTGTTTCTGCAGTGCTGGAGCCCCAGCACAGATCACATCCCTCAGGGAAATGAGCTGTGTTTTCCTCCCTGTTTCTATTTGCACTTTTGGGGACTGGTCCATGTTCCCATGCAGGATTTATCTGGACAGCACCTGTGACCTCGGTTGGGATTGAGCCATATTGCTTAATAAAAGATGATGGTGTCTGGAAATGTTAATTTATCCCAGGTATTTAAAATTCCCTAACTCCAGACATTCCATAGATAATTTTCATATTACCTGAAGTTCACCCAGCTGTTCATTTTTCCCCATATTTTCATGTGGAGCTTCACAGCTGGTGAGATAATGATTATATGGCCACAAAATCCACCAGGATGAGAACTCAAAACATACTTTGGACCAAAAAAGCAGCGGATCTGCTGACAAATCCTACTGGCTGCTTTGCAAGGTGGAAGGCTCCCTCCACCTCCCATCCCCATAAATATTTTAGGACACTCCCCAACTTCTAAGACCAAATAAAAATGCTGCAGGGGGTGATGAAAAAACACCTCCATTTTTTGGGATGGAGATGGTTAAAAAAGCCATAAAAGCAGAAGTGATCTGAGGCTCAAGGTAAAATTTTGCACGAGGAGACTTTGCTGTCTTTGGGCAAAGGGTAATCCCAGCAAAGGATGGAGAGGGAGGGAGGGAAGGAGAACCTGAAATTGTGGGTGGGGAGATCCCAGAAATGCCCTGCAAAGGTGCCCAAAGAATTTCAGGACAGGGATGGGGTAAGGAAGGAAGGAAAAGAAGCTGGGACTGTCTCGATCAAGGCTGAGCTGCTGAGATTCTACAGCTGAGAGGGTGTAACAGGACCTAAAACCCATCCAGATCCAGGACAGGGAGCCCCACTCAGCCTTACTGGTGCCTTTGAAAGATTCCCTGCAGCTCTCAGGAGATAAAACTGGACTGGAAAACCCCAGAGCAGCTGCAAAGTGCTTCAAGGTCACTCCAGGCTGTTCCAGTCGGGTCTGAGATGGGAACAGGGCTTGTGGCCAGCAAAGCTGTTCTGTGCTGCCACCTCTCGCCGTGACAGCCCAGCTGGGCACAGCACGGGACAGAAAGGGACACAAAGGGACACACAGCCTCTTTTAAAGGTGGGGTTGGAAGCCAGAAGGGCAAAAAAAAATCACTATGATTTTAAGGGAATGGTTCTTCAACCCAGAGAAAGAAAACCATTTTTTAATGTATGATTTGATTTAAAAAAAAAAAGGAAAAATAAATGTTTGCAGGTTTGAGCGCTCAGATTTAGGCACGGAAATGTCAAAAAACCCTAAATAAATAATCTATGGGAGGTATATATTAAAAAACCCCAAATTTCAGACCTAAGGCTTCCACGATGATTGTGGAATTATATACATATATATATGTATAAAATATAATTTATATTATATTTATAATGTAATTTATATTTATAATTTCTATTTATAATGTATTTTATATTTTTTATAGAGAAAGTGCTGAATTTTTATTTTGGCTCAGGATTCTGCAAACACAATTTTATATATATATATATATATAAATATTATATTATATATGTAATTATACACATAATATCATCTTTTATATAATTATATAAATATTATATTATATTATATTATATTATATTATATTATATTATATTATATTATATTTAACTGTGTATAAGTATATATATATAATTGTGTATATGTACAATTTTGGATCAGGACTCTGCAAACACGTAAAAATATAATATAATATAATATAATATAATATAATATAATATAATATAATATAATATAATATAATATAATATAATATAATATAATTAATATAATATAATATAATATAATATAATTAATGTAATATAATATACAGTTATGTATAAAATATACTATAGAATTTATATACATAATATTTTATAATTTATATATTATATTATATATTATATCTATAATTGTGTTTTCAGTCCTGAGCTGAAATTATACATATAGACATTTATACATAATATTATATAATGTATATTATATGTTATATATAATTACATATAAAATTTTAATATTTTATATCTATATTATATATTTCATATATTATATATATAAAATTGCATTTGCAGAGTCCTGAGCAGAAATTATACATATACACAATTATATAGATAATATTATATAATATATATTATATATAATTGTATATAATAGATATACAATTTTATTAAATATAAATATAAATATAAATATAAATATAAATATAAATATAAATATAAATATAAATATAAATATAAATATAAATATAAATAATTGTGTTTGCAGAGTCCTGAGCCACAATAGCAACTCATCCCTTTCTGTATCCAACCCCAGCCTCCTGTTGTGTTGTGTGCCAACCCTTATCTGTCAGGCTGGTGTTTGCTGGTGTTTGCTGGTGTTTGCTGTGATCCCAGAGATGTTTCTGGAAGCTCAGGCAGGTGCCCCAGGAGGAGCAGGCTCTCACCTCTCCGTCAGCCACCGCAGAATAGTTCACCTGTGCCACGGTGACCGTGGTGGGCAGCTCGGAGGCATCGGCCAGCGTGGCCACCGTGGCCCCTGTGCCAACCTGTGGGGAGAAAACAATGCAGCTGTTAGTGCAGGAAGTGCCCACAGCTCTAGGGCAAAAGGGTCTCGTGTGCTGTCAGATTAAAAAGAATAAAGGAATTTACTGTCAGGGGGGTGCAGGGAGGCTGTGGATGTCCCACGCCTGGAAGTGTCCAAGGCCAGGCTGGACAGGGCTTGGAGCAGCCTGGTGTCACAGACACATTTTATGAAAAATCCTTTAAGATTTTTTTCTCTTGAGAAGCCTCAGGAACAAAATGTAACCAATGGTTATCTGCTGCTGTGGAATGCAACAGGTGCATCTGGGATTGGTCTCATGTGGTTGTTTCTAATTAATGGCCAATCACAGTCAGCTGGTTCAGACTCTGTCTGAGACACAAGCCTTTGTATTAATTCTTTCCTTTTCTATTCTTAGCCAGCCTTCTGATGAAATCCTTTCTTCTGTTCTTTTAGTGTAGTTTTAATGTAATATATATCATAAAATAATAAATCAGCCTTGTGAAACATGGAGTCAGATCCTCATCTCCTCCCTCATCCTGGGACCCCTGTGAACAGTCACAGCCTGGGATGGTGGAAGGTGTCCCTGCACTTTGCAGTGACAGGATCTTTAAGGTCCATTCCAAGCCCCTCAAATTCCATGATCCTGTGACTAATTGTAACTGCAGAGCTCACAGAAAACACAGAGCTGTCCCCAGGGGGGAGGAAATCCCAAACTGGAGCCACACTAACCCACGGAACCAAGTCTCTAATCCAGACTGGAACCAAGTTTTGCACATTCCTTGTGCTGTCCCTGTGTCCATGAAGGCCCCAGCAGTCTCCCAGCCTCAGGAAGAGCAGCTGTGGGAGCATGGTGGAGTGAACTCCCTTCTCCCACCCACCCTGCACTGCCTCAGAATTCCCTGCACACCCTCCTTGCTGCCCAGTCCCTGGGTCTCATCTCCAGGCATCCTGGCAAACATGAGCTCCTCCTCAGTACCCCTTTGGAAATGATCTTTTCCCCATTTAACAGCTGGGAAAGGACAAAGGCAGGGAGATGGGCAGCTTTGTCTCTGAGGAGAATTAAATATAAATGCCAGGAAGTCAATGGGATCTCAGGTATCCAGCACCTGAAAGAACACCAGTCAAAGGGAGATTGTATGGACAGGTGAGCAAAGAGAACCAGCCTGGCAAGTCTGCTGGGCCTTGGTGGGGAACAGAAAACTCTGACAGCCACTGAAAAGCTTCATTTGGGAAAAAAACCCTACACCAGTTTTTACACCCAGTTTTTATCTGCATGATGTCTGAGACTTCACTAAAAATGTCATGCTCAAGGACAAAGTGCTGGGCCTGGTTAGGAACCACCACCAGTGGTGGTGTGGAGGCACAGGGAAACTGAGATTCAAATCTCACTCCCACAAGGAGTTTGTGGGAAGTTTCAAGAGAAAACCTATTTTTTTTTACTTCCTGAGCAGCCAGAATCTGCCTTCCCACACAGGGAACACAGGGAAAACAGGAACAGCACTGAGCTAAGAACAGTGAGAGGAATCCTTATTCCAAGAGGACAAATATGCATTTGGTGTTTGTAATAAATGTAATACATTTCAGGTGTCAGATGAAGATCTGGGGCACAGAAATAACTGATCTAGATATATATATATATAAAACAGATAGATAGATAGATAGATAGATAGATAGATAGATAGATAGATTATATATAGATATGCATTTGGTGTTTGTAATAAATATAATACACTTCAAGTGTCAGATGAAGACCTGGGGCACAGAAATACCTGATATATATATATATATATAAAATATGTATATTATATATAGAGATATATATAATAAGTATGTTCTATACATAGATATATATTTTATACATATAATATGCATATTATATTTAGATACATAGTTATATATATATGAAAATACCTGAAATGTAGCTGATCAAACTACATTTCATACCATTAAAGGAAGGCAGTTCCACCACCTCTCCTCCCATTGTCACCACAGGTGCTGTGTGGTGGCACCAGGGACTGGGTTTGTTCTAAGTAGGTTCACTAAACTCAGGTCAAACCCCTGAATTTTTTTGACCACATCACAGAAATCCTTGCATCGGACACCAAGGGGTGGGAGTTGGGAAGAGAGAGGATGAGGATGGATCTTTGTTGTAGGGTAAGATGTGATAAAGACAAAATTCCTGAAGGACAAGTTTGGCTCCTGAGTTTCCTTAAACCACCTGGTGGTGTTGAAACCCAGGAAATTCCTCTGGCTGCCCTGGAGGGCCCGAGCCCCTGCCCAGGGGGCTCAGAGACCTTGACACAGAGCCCAGGACCCCTGTGCCTTTGATCTTGACCCATGGAAAAAAATTACCAACCTTATATGAGGATTTACAAGCCACAAAAGTTTAAGTAGAATGATAGTGAATTTATCATAGGGTGAAAAATAGATTTTTGATGTTTTTAGAATGGGGGCTCAGGGTCCCAAGATGGGGGGATTTGGGCATGCCTTGTCCTTTCTCCTTCTTCTTGGCCTCCATCTTCTGGGTGATGTTGGCACTTTTGGACTGGTTTAGAGTAGAAGCTCAGTGTCTAACATAGGTGATAGGTATTGGGAAGTTATGGTAAATATTGTACACGTAGTTTTTAGTATAAAAAGATAACACTGCCTCTGAGGGCAGTCAGAGTGCCTCTGTCTGACCTGCTGGACAGACCTCAGCAGGCCAGAGAAAGAATGTTATAGATAAGAAATAACAAACAACCTTGAGATCGAGAACTGCTGAGTTCTGACTCCTTTGAGCGCCAGGCTGGGAAAAGAGACTTTCTAACACATCTCGGGGTCACTGTGAGCAGTTAAAGCCCCAAGAGTGGTGGTTTAAATGTACTGGAGATGGAGAAGGCAGGGGGCTGCTCTCACCTGGATGAGGGACACGGTGCCGTCGGGGTTGCTGAAGGTTTGCACCACGGTCTGGGAGGGCACCAGGTGGGCGATGCTGTGCGTGGTCGTGGTCTGCGGCGTCTGCTGGTCCTCGAAGGCGTAGAGCAGGTCCTCGCGCCCGTGCTGCTTGTAGCAGTTCTTGACGATGGTGCGCAGGGCCTGGGTCCAGGACACCTTCCAGCAGCAGGGACAGGGGACAGTCAGCCCAGGGAAGGGTTCTGAGCCAGCTCAGCGCTGGGGTTTGCACTGTGCCCTCACTGGGCTTTGTCGGGTGGTGTGCAAGGATTCACGAACAACCCCAATGTTTAATCTGCCTCTGCTCATCCCCTCCTTCCCCAAGGAATCACCCTGAAGAGCCTCCTGATCCAGTGAAGATGCAGGGGCTCAGCGCAGGGGCTGGATGAGAACACCTTTAAAAGGGCCCTTGCAACCCAAACCATTCTGTGACTCCAAGCAGAAAACCACAGTGATTTGGGAAAGCACCAAAATGCTGCCACAGCACCATTTCCAACCTCCCCACCCAGCCAGCCCTGAACCAGCCTGCACAGGTCCTGCTGCCTCCCCACCACAATGGCTTCCTTTGATTATCTCTGTGACAGGCTGGTACAAACTTTACTTTTTCACCCAGTTGTCTCATTTGCCCTGGCTCCACCGCACATCCACGACTCCTTCCTTTAAGCACAAATCTCCCTGCTGCTCTGAACAGGCCAGCATCCCTTCCCTCCTGCAGGAAGCCATGACACAGACCCTTTCTTCTGTCCCTCAAGGCAAAAACCACCCCCAAAAACCCAGCCTGCAGCCCCTGTGCTCCATTTGGAGGCAGACAGGGAGACACTCACCCGCTGCTTCTGCTCCTCCGTGCGGACGTCGCTGCGGACGTTGGCCCACGGGATGTCCTCGGGCCACCAGATGGGCTTGCAGCTCTCCTTGCCCCAGCCTGGCTTCCCACGACCCGTGGAATACTTCAGCATCTCGGGGATGAAGGCTCTCAGCTGTGCCTGGAACAAACAAAAGGTTGAGAGGTGTTCAGGAATTCCCATCTCGGGTGGTTTTGAGGGCCGTTGTACAGAATTCCTGGGTTCAACTTCCATCCTGTTGGAGCCATCAAATGGAAGAGGCCTGAAAGCCCAAGGAAGGTGGACAATGTTTTGCCACCTTCTCCCAGAACTCAGCTTGGCAGCAGGTGGAAGGGAAGAGACAAAATTCAATCAGCAAATACAAAATTACAACACCAAGGCACAGCCATTGTATTGACACTTCACAACTCAAACACTACCAGGAAGAGAATGAGCCAACCTCAAATGGGGAAAAAAAATCACAATAACCTATTAAAAACCCCATAATCAATGTCCCTACAGAGGCAGGAACTCAGGCATGAGTTGATGCATCATTTACAGAGATGCTGTGAGAGGATGGAGCTTTGGTGACTGCTGAAATGTGGAAACCACAGTCTCACACTTCTCCAGCCCTGTCCTGCCAAAATAAATGAAAAACTCACACAGGGTTTCGTGACAAGATTGGTTTTGCACCAGGGACTCCTTGAAGCACCAGGAAAAGGCTGGTTCAGCTGCAGAGCAGAGCAGGAAGGGGAGAGCTCTCCTTATATCACAGGAAACCACATTTAGTTTAAAACCTGCAATGAGGAGCACCTCCCTGCATCACTTCAGAGCTTTTAGAGTAAAACATTTCATAGAACCATGGAGTCATTTCGGTTGGAAAAGATCTTTAAGTTCCCCAGCACTGCCAAGGCCACCACTGACCGTGTCCCCAAGTGCCACATCCACAGGCACTTGGGCTTTGAAAGGGCCACATCCAAATGGCTTTGAAACCCCTCCAGGAATGGGGACTCCACCCCTGCCCTGGGCAGCTGTCCCAGCGCCTGACCACTGTTCCCAGGAAGGAATTTTCCCTAAAATCCCCATCCTGCCCCTGCCCTGGCCCAGCCTGAGGCCGTTCCCTCTGCTCCTGTCCCTGTTCCCTGGAGCACAGCCCGACCCCCCCGGCTGTGCCCTCCTGGCAGGGACTTGTGCAGAGCCACAAGGGCCCCCTGAGCCTCCTTTGCTCCAGGCTCAGCCCCTGCCCAGCTCCCTCAGAAGTTCTCCAGACCCTTCTCCCTGTGCTCTAGCTCTGTTCCCCTCTCTGGACACAGTCTGGATGTTGCATCCATGGGCTCCAAGCTGTCCATGAACTCGTTTCCAGCTGCCTTTTCCACCTTCCTCATGGAATATGCCCTAAAGCACCTTTTTCCCAGCCTGTCCATGATCCACCTTCCACTGCAGGGCCAGCACCCACCCTGACATGCTCCAGGTTCCCTGGATGGAGCCTGGTGAAGGGAGAAGAAATAATTCCTCCAGAGAGCAGTTTCTTTAAAATTACATTGTTCATAGCCCAGGAGAGAAAAGAATTTGTTCTTCAGAAACTCTGCAATAAACAGGGCTGAGTGAGCAGGGCTGGGGGAAGGAGGGAAAGCCAGAATGGAGCTGGAAAAGGCAGGGACTTCACTCCCAAGGAGTAATATTTAGCAGCAACTCTGCCCAATAATTTATTCAAATAAACCTGATAGCAGCAGGGTTTTTTGGAGTTGCTGTTGATTTTTGGGTTGGTTTTTTTTTTTTGTTTGTTTGTTTGTTTGTTTTTGGTAAGGTTGGAATTGAAGTGTTAGAGATGGTGTTTTGTGTTTAGGTTTAGATGTTTGTTATTTTTAAATTTATATTATATATATAAATAAATTTTATATATAAAAATAATATATAAAATTATATACGTATATATTTATATATTATATATATCATATACAATATATATAAATTTATATTATATATACAAATAAATTTTATGTATATAAATAATATATAAAATATATAAATAATTCTATAAATTAAATCATTAAGGAATAATTTATAAATATTAAAATAAATTAATTAAATAAATTGTCTATAAATATTAACTATATAAATTTATATAATATAAGAAATTATATATTTATAATATATATTTTTTATATTTATAGTATTCTATTAATAAGTTACAAAATTGTTAGCTTTTTCTGTATAAGGTTTTTTAAGGTTAAACTATTTAATTAAGAAATTGTACTTAAATTATTTTTATTTTTAACTTAATTAATTATTTGAACTCTGTAACGCGGATTTTTTTTGTTTAGTTATAAAATACTATTTAAACTTATGAAGAACAAGGAAGAAGGATTAGTTTTTTTTTAAATTTCTATTTTGTTTTATATATATTATATATAATATATATTATATTATATAATATATATTATATATATTATATATAATATATATTTTATATATATTTTGTTTTATATATATTATATTAAATATATATTATATTATAATATATATTTATATATAATATATAGTATATATAATATATTTATATTATATATAAATATAAATATATATATTATATATAAAAATATATATATGTATTGTATTTTAAATAATATATATATATTATATTTTAAAACTCTAAACTTTAAGTTCTTTACTTTCAGATATTACACACTTTTAATTAACTACACACTTGTAGTTTTAGTGTTATTAGCAATTCTGGTTTTCGGTTAAATGTAGGATTCTTTTGGGGGTTGGAGTTTTTTAGCACAGAAAGTTTAGAATTTTCAGCATTTAGGACTGCTACAAAACCAGTTAAAAGCTGCTTTCCTGCCCTGCCATCAGCAGAGCTCCTTGTTTCCAGCTGCATCAATTACTGCTCCACGGCAGTGCAGGGCTCAAGGTGCTTGTTAAGGAGGGTTTGTCTTTAATCCACGGGGAGACAATCAGCAGCTCTGTCAGGAGAGAGGACTTGGTTAATTAGTGCCCTAACGAGGCCAGGCTCTGGCACAGGTAATGTCCCCCACACCCCTGGGGCACAGGGGAACATTCACCTGCAGGAGCCATGGTTCTGCTGGCACCATCCAGGAAACACCCAAAAATCAAACCTCTGCTGAAAAAACCCCAGTTTGTGCTCTTGGAAAGGGCTCAGGTAACCCCCAGGATGGAGGATTTGGGAGAAACTGTGGGAAATGTTTCTTTGCCACGGTTTCACACAGGCTCAGTGTTTTCACCTTTAACGTTAAGTTCAAGAATTAATGGTACTGAGCTATCCCATTCCCAAATGCAACAGCCCAAAGCACAGCCAGCTGTATTCCAATGGCTCTCCAGAGCTGGAAACACCAAGGAAAATGGTTTTTAGAACAGAGCAAATCCTGTGGCTGGAATTTTCTACACATCCCCACAGCCCAGCCTCGGGATCTCTGGGAAAAGCAAAGTCGAGGCCATGCAGGACCTCGACTGCACCTGGAAGTGGGAGAGGGAAAAACAGGAACTGCACCAAAGCTGGCAGGGAGCACTCAGCCCTGAATCCATCCCTGCTGCACCTCCCAGGGCTGGCAGGAGACACTCAGCCCTGAATCCATCCCTGCTGCAATGCCCAGAGCTGGCAGGGAACACTCAGCCCTGAATCCATCCCTGCTGCACCTCCCAGGGCTGGAAGGGAACACTCAGCCCTGAATCCATCCCTGTGCACTGCCCAGAGCTGGAAGGGAACACTCAGCCCTGAATCCATCCCTGCTGCACTGCCCAGGGCTGGCAGGAGGCACTCAGCCCTGAATCCATCCCTGCTGCACTGCCCAGAGCTGGAAGGGAACACTCAGCCCTGAATCCATCCCTGCTGCAATGCCCAGAGCTGGAAGGGAGCACTCAGCCCTGAATCCATCCCTGCTGCAATGCCCAGAGCTGGCAGGGAACACTCAGCCCTGAATCCATCCCTGCTGCACCTCCCAGGGCTGGCAGGGAACACTCAGCCCTGAATCCATCCCTGTGCAATGCTCAGGGCTGGAAGGGAACACTCAGCCCTGAATCCATCCCTGTGCAATGCCCAGAGCTGGAAGGGAACACTCAGCCCTGAATCCATCCCTGCTGCACCTCCCAGGGCTGGCAGGGAACACTCAGCCCTGAATCCATCCCTGTGCAATGCTCAGGGCTGGAAGGGAACACTCAGCCCTGAATCCATCCCTGCTGCACCTCCCAGAGCTGGAAGGGAACACTCAGCCCTGAATCCATCCCTGCTGCACCTCCCAGAGCTGGCAGGGAGCACTCAGCCCTGAATCCATCCCTGCTGCAATGCCCAGAGCTGGCAGGGAACACTCAGCCCTGAATCCATCCCTGCTGCAATGCCCAGAGCTGGAAGGGAACACTCAGCCCTGAATCCATCCCTGCTGCACCTCCCATGGCTGGCAGGGAACACTCAGCCCTGAATCCATCCCTGCTGCAATGCCCAGAGCTGGAAGGGAACACTCAGCCCTGAATCCATCCCTGCTGCACCTCCCATGGCTGGCAGGGAACACTCAGCCCTGAATCCATCCCTGCTGCACCTCCCAGAGTTGGGAAACCATAAAACCACCCAGGCTATGGCTCAGCTGCATGGGAGCTGATTCCAGCAAGGATTCTCCCACTGCCATGTGCCCTGGATGCTCCAGCTGGGAGAGCAGGAATGCAGCTCTCAGGAGGTGAACAGGCACCATGATGATCCTTGAAAAACTTTATCAAGTTCTTTTATGGCTTGTAGGTGCCAGAAAAGCTTTTACTGGCTCCTACAAGCAGGTTATAAATCACAGGGGCTTAAAAAAATCAGCTTAAAGGACAAATCATGTGTTCATAAAACAGTGAGAGCTGACTGGAGCACTGAGCTCAGCTTGGTTAAGCTCAGATTACCCAATTTTACTCCTCAATCACATCAACGAGCAGCTGAGAACAAGTTGAGGGGCAAACTCAGCTGTCACCAAAGTCCAGAAACACCAAGATGCCCCTCTGTGAAGGCTGAAAATCCCCCTAAAACACAGGTTTTCCTGCCCAGCCCAGGTGGGTGATACTCTCCATTCCCAAGGCTGGAGAAACATCTTTGCCCAGGGAAATAAAGGCTTTATTTCCCTCCAGACCACTGGGGAAGCAGAGCAATTAAAAGGAGAATTATTTTCACCTCCTCACTGATGACACCTCTACACCTGCCTGCTGGCACCTGCTGAAAGCAGAGGCCTCATTTTTCCAGTCCCTGCCATCCTAATTACATTTATATTTATTTTAGTTCCAGTTTTCCATAGGGTTTTGTGCAACTTAGCTGCAAAAAAAAAAAAAAAAAAACAAACAAAAGCCCTGATTTTTTACTAGAAAATACAAATAATTATACTGGAAGCTCTGGGAATCAAGATTCCCACAATAAATGATGGCACCTCTGTGCCCAGCTCAGGAGAAACCTTTCTACAAAGCTCTTCTGAGCTACCTCACAGTGCTGGAACAATGAGGGCCATTCCTAAAAAAAATCCTTGTTTTTTTACCATAGAGCAGCAGGAGGGGATTTGAAAGAAGAGGTTCTACATCAGCACTTTGGGCTGGCTGAGCAAAGGCCCTGCAGGACCAGGAGGAGAAAAACATTTCCATGGGGAACTGCTCCTGGTACACAGCAAAAGCTGCCAGGGGCAGCTCCTGCAGTGCCACCTTTCACAGGAGTTTAAAAATCCAAGAAATCATTTTTGTCTTCTTTGTCAGGGACTGGGGAAATTATCTGTACCAGACAAAGCACAGTAAGCTCAATATAATTTTATTATGAGTGTGAGCTTCTCTGATTGCACTAAGAAATGGAAATGGTGCTTTGAGCAGGGTGTGACCTCTGCAGAGCACAGAAAAATCTGCACATCTTTGCCCTGCTCTGACCTCTTTGTGTGCTGCCCTTTCCATCTTGCTACTCCCTCAGAAAAAAAATTGCTTTTCAGCAAAATTTTAATTAATTTTAATTTAAATTTTAATTTAATTTTTCATTTAAAACTTGTTGTGGTGCCTCAGACTGGGTGTACCCAGAGCCTCCTGCAGGCCACACCTGCCTGAATTCAGGTCCTGCATCCCTGGGAAGGATGCAGGAAGCTTCCAGATGAAGCTTCCCTGGGGAGTCCCCTGCACTTTCTTCCAGCAGGGAGGTCAGGCTGGACCTGGAGAGAAAGGGAATCTCCCACATGCCCAGAGCACACAATTCCCTGAGTCCAACAAAAATATCCCATCAGGGTCTGATCTGGGGTTAAACTCCCCTCTGCTCCAAGCTACAGCAAGAAATGGAGGAGGGAATGAATTACAGGACACAGAAAGGTGTCCATGAGAGACCTTCCCAACCTCAGAGCCTAAAGATTGTGGCAAAGAATGGAACATTTTCCCTGTTCCCACTTTCTGAGGTACCAAAACCAGCTCCAAAGGGAATGCTCCCAACAGCCTGAGCTCTCCCCACCATTTTTTTTCCCAGAGAAAATCAGCACCACTAACAAAGCTTCAACAAAAAAATCTCACCAGGGTCTGAGCTGGGGTTGAACCTTTGGCAAATTCCCCTCTGCTCCAATCCACAGCAAGAAATGGAAGAGAGAATGAACTACAGGACACAGACTGAGTGACCTACAGGACACAGACTGAGTGACCTTCCCAACTTTGACACCTAAGATTGTGGCAAAGAATGGAACAAACATTTTCTCTGTTCCCACTTTCTGAGGTGCCAAAACCAGCTCCAAAGGGAATTCTTTCAGTAGCCTGAGCTCTCCTCACCAGCAGTTTTTTGTCACAGAGAAAATCAGCACCACTAACAAAGCTCCAACAAAGAAATCTCACTCAGGGTCTGAGCTGGGGTTGAGCAGCAAATTCCCCCTCTGCTCCAATCCACAGCAAGAAATGGAAGAGAGAATGAACTACAGGACACAGAAAGGTGTTCATGAGAGACCTTCCCAACCTCAGTGCCAAAAGATTGTGGCAAAGAATGGAACAAACAGGGAAATTTTCTCTGTTCCCACTTTCTGAGGTACCAAAACCAGCTCCAAAGGGAATGCTCCAGCAGCCTGAGCTCTCCTCAGCAGCAGTTTTTTTTCACAGAGCAAATCAGCACCACTAACAAAGCTCCACCTCCAAGCACAACCGGAGCTGTTACAGCCCCAGGGGAATGAGGAGATCAGAGCCATCCCCTGGAGAGGCAGCCACACAAAACAACAGGATGTGACTGCAGGATGCCCAGCATCCCTCTGTTCCCCTGCCTGTGCCAGGGCTGGCTGCTCACCGGGGTCACCTGTGCACTCACCTGGGTCATTTTGTCCACGGAGACGGGGATGCCGTCGATGGTGAGGGGTGGCAGCTCCGAGTTGACCTCCTGGGGGGCCGGGGCGTGCTCGGCCAGCGCCGACTCCAGGTCCTCCAGGATGGTGCTCTTGTACTTGCGGACCTGTGGGGAGTTGTTAGGCTCAGGTAAACACGGTGAGCAGCACCAGGAGAGGAGCAGGGTGCAGGCCCAGCCACCTTCCCCAAGGTGCTGCAGAGCAGGAGGAGCAAACAGTGGCACAGCTGGCAGGAAGCAGCCAGCAGCCCCCCGAGACTCAGCCCTGCTGATGAAACTTTGCAGTAACACCGGCAAGGGAAGAATTTGTGGGATGAAAGGAAAAGTTCTCAAAGTAGAACTTGTCCTGGGCAGGGTCTGCAATAAGGTGCAGACAGCAGAGCTGAGTTTAAACATGTCATTTTTTAGGGTTTAGTCTGGACAAGAGGAGGCTCAGAGGGGAGCTTGTGGCTCTGCACAAGTCCCTGCCAGGAGGGGACAAGTTGGGCTGTGCTCCAGGGAACAGGGACAGGAGCAGAGGGAACGGCCTCAGGCTGGGCCAGGGCAGCCTCAGGGTGGACACCAGCAGGAATTTCCCCATGGAAAGGGCTCAGGCCTTGGCAGGGGCTGCCCAGGGAGGTTCGGAGTGCCCATCCCTGGAGGTGCCCAAGGAATTCCTGGATGTGGCACTCAGGGCTCTGGGCTGGGGACAAAGTGGGGTTCTGACACCTTGGACTCAATGATCCTGGAGGTCTTTTCCAACCTCAGGGGTTCTGGGATTCTGTGATCATGACCTGTTCCCTCTGATTTTTAATCCAGGCTATTCCCCCTGGTGAGATGTGCCAGGCAGCCATTCTTGCAGAGAAGAGAGGACCTCAGTGCTGCCCTCATGTCAGGGAGTCAGAGGAAAATTAAGGCTGGAAAAGATCTCTGAAATCACTGACTCAACAGGTCCAGCACTGTATTCCATAAAACCTAAACTCTGTTTTCCAGGGTTTTTAACATGACCTTCAGATCCCTACTTCCAAGGCTGCCCTGAACAGAACAAAACCTGCAGAGAAGGTGAGGAATTTCCTTCCTCACTTTCCTAGGGACACCTACCACGTTCTCCAGGGGTGCAGCACCGAACACTTTGAAGACAGGGTTGGGTTTGGAGGGTGAGATGCACAGCACGATGGCCTGCTGCCCCACTCTGGTGGTGTACTCATCCAGCGTGGCCCGCAGCTTCCTGAAACACAGCAGAAACTGGCAATGGGCACCAGCTGAAAGCCCAAACACCACCCCTCTGACTGCCAGCTCCCCTGCACAAAGCAGGTGAGAAACAGAGCCCCAGCTGCTCAGCCTGGCCACATATGGAGTTTATTCCTCTGTCCCACAGGCCTGCTGTGCTCCCTGCAGTCACCCAGCAGCTCAAATGTCAATTATTCTCCCCTCTCTCCTTTTCTCATTGATGTAAAAAGAGAAATCACCAGAGCAGCAAAGCTGGGGCAGCGAGAGCTGCACTTGCACTCTGTCTCAGCAACACAAAACTTGTGTTTTGTTGAAGCACCTGAATGATTCATCAAGAGGCCTGCAGACAGAGGTTGTTTTACATCCAGATCATAGCAGTGCAATTCTCCAGCACCAAAGTCCTGCTCAAACCAGATCTGGAGGAATTCAAGCTACAGGATAAGCAAGAACTGGAAATATTGCAACAGCTCAGCACAGGAAACCCAGATGTCCCAACACCTGCCCCATCAGCAACTCCCTTCAGAATTAAAACGTTCCACTGGATATTTTCTGCCTCTTATTCCCTTTTAAGCAGTGCAAGAGCCAGAAATGGTGGCAGAAACTCCAAAAGCAATAGAGAAGTAGTGTTTTCCCCAGTAAAGCTGAGCACTCTGTGAGGTGACAGCTCAGCCCTGTCCTGGTCATTTCAGAACCCGAGGCTGCCCAAAAGCACCACCAGCCACACACAGATCCCACTGTCAGGGGTTTGGAATTACCACTTGATTCCCAGTGGGTGAAAATCAAGCACAAACATGTGTTCAACTGGTCAGAGTGGAAAAAAAAAAAGATGTTTTGTCATTATCTTAATGTAGCAAAATGAAGTAGTTGCGTGAAAGGAGAAGAAATAATTCCTTCACTGAGCAGTTTCTTTAAAAATATATTGTTGATATTTAAGGGAGAAAAAGATTTGTTCTTCAGAAACACTGCAATAAACACAGAAACTGCAATAAACAGGGCTGAGTTGGGGGAAGGAGGGAAAACCAGAATGGAGCTGTAAAAGGCAGGGAGTTCACTCCCAAGGATTATTATTTAGCAGCAACTCTGCCCAACAATTAAACCTGAACTGTCCAATGAGATCCCAAACAGCATAAAAAGCAGGAACTGCTTTGTTGCAAAAGGCAGGGAACAGTAGCAGCCGATGTTCACAAATGTTTCCAGAGCACGGAACCTGGGTGGAGTCTCCAGGGCTGCGCAGTGCCCTCAGCTCTGCTGTGGCTCGGGGGCCATCAGGTGGCAAAGAGCCTCAGAGCACCTGGAATGCAGCACCTGCAGGGCTGTGGAGCTCTGCTGTCTCCACTGGAAGTTTCTAAAGCCAAAAAAAAGTGTTTCAACTCAGGCAGGAATCTCCCCTGGGTTACTCTTCCTAAAATTGTGCTCTAAATCCTGCACTCTTCACCGAGGGGTTTAGAGCACAATTTTAGGAGGAATAATCCGGGGGAGATACCTGCCTGAGATTCCTTTGCCAGTCTTCACAATGGCAAAGGAAATTTGGATATACACACGCTGAATTCATCCCCAGAATGGTTTAATCAAGCAGAAAAGACTTTTTTTGTGAGGCAGATAAATCCTTTGCAGAGCTGGGATATGGAAGGAGCTTGAATTTCTGCTAAAGCCACTATGGATATCTTGGAATATCACTGTGACAGATAACTGGGGTTAAAACAGAACAATGGATCCACCAGAGTGTCAGTCCTGGTGATCATACAATCAGAGATGAGCAGAGCTGCAATTTAACCCTTTAATGCCAACTAAAACCCTGATTTACCCCTGACATGTAAATGGACCAAACTTAAATATAACTTATAACTTCCTGGCTTCCAGAAAGACACTCCCAAAAAAAAACCCCCAAACTGGGTGACTCCTGGACAGCACTTGGTGTGACCACAGAGGCCAGCAGAGCTGGCTGGAGGACACGGAGGTGGCAGGGCCAGGTGGGTGCTCACCTGAGCAATCGTGTCTGCTGCCTCTTGCGGATGGAGGGGTTGGACTCGAACACGTGCGGCCGCTTCCGCTTCTTGCCCGTTGCCACAGCAGCGGCTGCTGCCATCCCCACAGGGCCTGCAAAGCACAGCACAGAGGGTCAGTCAGCTCCAGCAGCTCGGGAGGGACACTGCACTGTGCCCCACAGCCAGGGAGGGGTGCCCAGGGTGTCCCCAGCAGGGCCAAGGGACATCCATCCCTCCCTGAGCTCTGCTCTGCAGCGCTGCGCTGAAAGCTCCATCCCCCAGGCTGCCAAATCCCAGCTCAGTCCTGGGGGAAAGTCACATTTTTCAGCCTAAAGTTCTCCTCACACTCAAAGAACTCTGTGTTTTTATCTTGAAAAACTCCCAAGATTTGAATGACTGAGGAGATCCTGGTGGCTGGGGAGAGGAAACCAGGTACAGCTCCACAAATCCTGCTTGGACACCTCAACTACAGCATCAGGAGTCTGAGCCTTTCCTGAGGGATTAAGGACCTGTTCTAGTGGGAAAGAAATGTAAATTCCAGAGTTCCCAGCAGTGTTCTACCAGGAAAAGAAATGTAAAATCCAGAGTTCTCAGCAGTGCCCTATCAGGGAAAGAAATGTTAATTCCAGAGTTCCCAGCAGTGTTCTACCAGGAAAAGAAATGTAAACTCCAGAGTTTTCAGCAGTGCCCTATCAGGGAAAGAAATGTAAAATCCAGAGTTCTCAGCAGTGTTCTACCAGGAAAAGAAATGTGAAATCCAGAGTTTTCAGCAGTACCCTGTCAGGGAAAGAAATGTAAAATCCAGAGTTCCCAGCAGGGTTCTACCAGGAAAAGAAATGTGAAATCCAGAGTTTTCAGCAGTGTTCTACCAGGAAAAGAAATGTAAAATCCAGAGTTCTCAGCAGGGTTCTACAGGAAAAGAAATGTAAAATCCAGAGTTTTCAGCAGTACCCTGTCAGGGAAAGAAATGTAAAATCCAGAGTTCCCAGCAGGGTTCTACCAGGAAAAGAAATGTAAACTCCAGAGTTTTCAGCAGTGCCCTATCAGGGAAAGAAATGTGAAATCCAGAGTTCCCAGCAGTGCCCTATCAGGGAAAGAAATGTAAAATCCAGAGTTCTCAGCAGTGCCCTATCAGGGAAAGAAATGTAAAATCCAGAGTTCTCAGCAGTGCCCTATCAGGGAAAGAAATGTAAACTCCAGAGTTCTCAGCAGTGTTCTACCAGGAAAAGAAATGTAAAATCCAGAGTTCTCAGCAGTGTTCTATAGGAAAAGAAATGTAAACTCCAGAGTTCCTAGCAGGGTTCTACCAGGAAAAGAAATGTAAAATCCAGAGTTCTCAGCAGTGCCCTGTCAGGGAAAGAAATTAAAAACCAGAGTTCTCAGCAGTGTCCTACCAGGGAAAGAAATGTAAAATCCAGAGCTCCTAGCAGTGCCCTACCAGAGCCTTCTGAGGACCACCCAGGCCTGAAAATCCTGTGTGCTAGAAGGGAAGGGGAAAGAAAAATTCCTGCAGGATGGGAGGGTGGAAAGTTCATAAGCAAGAGGCATGGGATGCTCAGGGGGTGGTGGAACCTCACAGGTTTGGTCTCAAGTCTGATACAGAGTCAGGCCAGACTCAGTGCTTTATTATCATCCCATTTTTCTGCCAATGCAGACCCACTACAGGGCCAGTCTGGAGGACATCTGGCTCACTGGGAGGAATCTGTGATTCTGAAGTACCTTCCCAGTCTGGATATGTCAGGATTTTCTGTGGATCTCCAGGGAGAGAGGCCTGGCATGTGAGCTCCCTGACTCAGCAAGGCTGCACTCCTGGGTTAGTTTTTGCTGTTGTTTATGTGGGGCCTGAAATAATCTTTGCTCTTTGACATATTTGGTATTTTAATTTTGTTACTTGAGGTAGCATTTTAGCAGGGACCTTTGTGCAAAGCAGCAATTCCCAGCACCTCTGTGATGCACACAGAAATGATGTGGGATTCAAGTGGCCAGCAGGGAGAATTTCCTGTGGAATATTCCTGTGGGTGAGATGGAATAATGATGTCTTAGGATTTAACTTTTCTATTTTTCAGATCCTGTACTGCTTTAGTGTATAACTCTAAAACTCCTTAGCCTGTCAGCTGCTGTTCTCCCATTTTATTCAGATAAAACAATTCCTCTCTAGGCCTGAAACTCAAGGACACCTGACTGTTTTAGGCCCTGTGTCTGGGTTTGAAAAGCCAGGTGTCTGCTAAGAAAGGCAGGAGCCTCCCCTGAAATGGAAAATGCAAACCCCCTCCCTCTGAATTGTTATGAATTTAAAATTAAGGGGGGCTCTCAGGTAAAGATATGGGAATAGGAATAACAGTTCTTTATAAGGAAAGAAAATAAAATATAAAATAAACAATGCAGTAATACAAACCAAACCACAGCCAGAGTGAGAGCAGGAGCTGCCCCCCTGTGTGTCAGGGTGGTGGCATATTCTCACTAACCAATCCAGTACAATACACAAATCCTAGAGCATTTCCATACAGCCTACAAGAATCACTACATTACCACACTGTGCTACATTTTAAACCCTAAAAACTCCTCTTTGGGCCCCTTCTGCCAAGCTGTAGGGTCTGCTCTGCCCCTTGGGCCTGTCTGCAAGCAGAGGGTGTTGTTCCATCAAAAGGGGATCACCTTCAGCTGGCCACACCATTGTTTTCCAGCTGTTCTGTAACTGAGGGATCTCAAAGCTTGCTTTCACTTCAACCTCACTTACAGTTTCCATATTCTCCAAACTCTTGCAGACAACCACATTTGACAAGGCTTTCCCGTTTCACCTTCCCCAAGAGGTGACGGAGCAGCCCCCGGGCGTTACCTGCGGCCGCCAGGTGCGCGGTGACCTCGTCGGCCGCCGTGGAGTTGAGGATGTCGGAGTCGTCGTAGGAGGTGTCCTCGGGCGAGGAGGGCGAGTCCTCGTCGGCGCTCAGCATGCTGTGCTCCGTGTAGGTGGCCACGTGCACCTGCTGCACCTGCTGGGCCACGGCGTGCGCCTCGATGGTAGCCATGTGCTCTGCCTGGCTCACCCCGTGCTCTTCCATCAAGAGTCACTGCCAGGACAAAAAGGCGGGACAAAAAACCATTACAAAAAGCCATTACAAAAAGCCATTACAAAAAGCCAGGCTGTGAGCAGCAGGGACAGAGATCACCTCCTCCCTCAGGGTGTCTGCAAGAGGGAAATAACTCTGCCAAGAGCCAGGGGAGTTTTAACCTGAAACTCTTTAGGTTAAAGAGTTTGGAAAAATCCACGCTTCCAAAAAGAACACGGCAGCCAGACATCATTATCTGTGCTGGAGGGAAGGTCCCCAAGGACCCTGCAGCCCTAAGATTCTCCATTGAACGGTCAAAGGTGGGACTTGGTTTTGCCACATCAAGTTCCAGCTCTCAGGGAAGAGGCCTGAGGGTGACACAAAGTCTCCCCTGACCTCAATAGCTCAGGACACAAACGAAGATGCCAGCACAGAATCCCAGGAGCACTGAGGGTGGAAAAGACCTCTGAGATCATCGAGTCCAACCTATGTCCCCTCCCCAGAGCAGAGCACTGGGTGGCACATCCAGGAATTCCTTGGACACCCTCAGGGACAGTGAGTCCACCGTCTCCTTGGGCAGCCCCTGCCAAGGCCTGAGCCCCTTTCCATGGGGAAATTCCTGCTGATTCCACCCTGAGGCTGCCCTGGCCCAGCCTGAGGCCGTTCCCTCTGCTCCTGTCCCTGTTCCCTGGAGCACAGCCCGACCCCCCCGGCTGTGCCCTCCTGGCAGGGACTTGTGCAGAGCCACAAGGGCCCCCTGAGCCTCCTTTGCTCCAGCCTCAGCCCCTGCCCAGCTCCCTCAGCCCCTCCTGGGGCTCCAGACCCTTCCCAGCTCCCTCAGCCCCTCCTGGTTCTCCAGCCCCTTCCCAGCTCCCTCAGCCTCTCCTGGTTCTCCAGACCCTTCCCAGCTCCATTCCCTGGACACACTCCAGCCCCCCCAGATCTTTCTGCTCAGGAGGGGCCCAGACCTGGACTCAGAGTCCAGAAAGAGGCAAAGCCATCACAGCCCAAGCACAAATATCACAGAAAGCTGAATTATTACAGCATCCAGTGGCAAAGCACCGAGCAAAGCAGCAGCTTACAGAGCCAGCAGGGCCCTGGACCACACACTGGGAGCACAGATCTGGGCAGAAGGACCAGGATGGGAGGTGCAGGGATATTTTCAGTCTGTCCCTGCCATACGTTTGTGGAAAAGAAAAGGCACATCCCTAAGAGATTTTCCAACAGGAGAATTAGAACCTCAACCCTCAAAAAGAGATTCCCCAAAGGGAATCTGTTCCTGCTCAGGGCAAAGAGCAGAAAGAGGTGACCAGCTGCAGGGAATAAGAAAATAAATTAAAAAAAGGGATCTGACCTGGTAAGAACAGTCATGGAATTAGAGCTCCTGACTTACACAGATCACAGAATGCCATGAGGGGTCACTGAGACACAGGAACCCAAACCATTTTGTCAAGAGGGGTATTTTGACCAAACAAAAAGGAGGTTGCAGCCAGGTGGGAGTTGGTCTCTTCTCCCAAGCCACAGGATAAGAGGAAATGGGATCAAGTTGTGCTGGGGAAGTTTAGATGGGATTTTAGGGAACATTTCTTCTCCAAAGGGGTTGTCAGTGGAACAGGGAAGTGCTGGACCCCCATCCCTGAAGGGATTTAACAGACCCTGGGGACATGGTTAGGGATGGGATCGGCAGTGCTGGGGAAGGGTTGGAATATTCCAGCCTGAGGGACAGCAGAATTGCTGTTGTGAGACTGTCACAAACCTACTGAGGCTACAGCTACAGCCAAACCAGCTTCAGACTCCCAATCCTCCCAAAAAAAGCTGCTGGAGTCTGATGTTGCTGTTGTCCAACCCTGTTTACAACTTGGGTTGTAATATTAGAACCATCCAAAAATAGCAGGAGTTCAAACAGTGCCAGCGAGGAAGGGACTGAGACTTTGAGGTGCAAATTGAGACAAACTGAAAACTTCTGGTGGAGAAACAACCAGCCCTAAACTCCTGCCATGAAACTCACACTGCCATCACCACAGAAAAATGGGTGGGAAAAAAAATATCTGTACATTGAGACAAACTGAAAACTCCTGGTGGAGGAACAATCAGCCCAAAATTCCTGCCGTGAAACTCACACTGCCATCACCACAGAAAAATGGGTGGGAAAAAAATATCTGTATATTGAGACAAACTGAAAATTCCTGGTGGAGCAACAATCAGCCCTAAACTCCTGCCATGAAACTCACACTGCCATCACCACAGAAAAATGGGTGGGAAAAAAATATCTCAAGTAAATCCTTATGGACCAGCTTAACAGATTTCCCAAGACACTGAGCTTTTCCTGAAAGGGGACATTGCTGCTTTTCTGACTATTAAAATTTAAAAAACCCATGGGAAGATGTGATCAGAACATGACTGATAGAGCACAGTGACTTTAAAGTCAGGAGACAAGACCCCAAGACAAGAAATGAAACCATTGGAACCAAACCTTGCACTCAAGGCAGCCTACACCTAATGCCACCAACACTGAAACCTTGGGAAGCCATTCCCATATTCCAATTATTCCCAAAGGATTCCTGACCCCAGCCAGGCTTTGTGGTCCACCACCTTGGCTGGCAGGTGAAGGTGTCACCAAGCTGGGCCAGCCAAGCACCCCTGTGACACATGCAAAGGATGGGGCCTGGATTGGGGCAGAGATCTGGGCACAGGGATGAAAGGAAAGCTGTTCCCTTCATCCTTCAGAGAGAAGCATTCCCCACCCCAGGAAAGGAAGGGTGATCCCTGGTGTTCTCCCAAAACCAGAGCAGTTTCAGGAGGAAGGACAGCCTAACGACACAGCGGTGACTGCAAGGACATTTCTGGACACTTCCTTAGTCCAGAAGGCTTGGATGACAGCCAGTAGTTGTTTTAAACTCATTTAAAGTGTTTATAGAAAAATATGAGGATAAAGTCCCTCTCATCACACAGTGCAGCTGCTTCATGAGTGCGTAAGGGGTTCCCTTGGTGTCCTGTCAGCCCTGACCAGTGGCCACTGACACCATCACTGGAGGAAGCAGCAGAGCTGCCCCACTCAAACCACCAGAAAACAACAGGAACTGGTTGCAAACCCCATAAATTCCACACCAAATTTAAACCCACGTGGATTGAAATGAAGGTCTCTGTGGTGTGATTCTAACAAGTCACAACTCAGCCCATTAAACCCCCACAGACACCATCCTCTACCATCACCATCCAGCTTAAAGGGTGCTTAAAACTGAGTCCAAAATAAAAATCCCACACCAGAAAAAATCATGAGAAACAGCAGCACGATGGAAAAACTCCCTTACACAGGCAGGGCCTGGAATGATTTTAAACCTTTATCCCACTGAAGAGGTTTTGCTTCAGATGCTGCAGGAGACACGACTGAGACAGACTGAAGCTGGAGATGAGCATTTATCCTCTGCAATGTTAAATCATGGTGCCATTTTTACCAACTCAGCCCACACCTCATTAATTTGAAACCCTGCTCAGATCAGCAATAAATAAAAAGAATCGCTGGGTCTCACTTCTTTGGTGGTTTCAATAACTTTGAAAGGAAGCAAAATAGGAATTCTGTGGAGGTTTTGAGAGACCTGCTCACTCTGTCCTCTCATGAGAGGATCCCTCCTAGGATACAACCATGAAAGGGACATTGGGGAAGGTCACCCTTTCCTTCTCTGTAGGAAATCACCCCCTAAATCAGGTTCTGGCCACTGTTTGCTGTTCCCCTTCCCCTTGCTGGGAGGGAGATTCCCCACTAACTGCTGCTTCATCTCCACGAGCCACAGAACAAGGCTGGAGCAGTTTCCCAAGATGCTGCTGGTGGCACCCAGGACTTCCCTGCTCCTGCTGAGCTGCTTCCTCACTCCCAGGAGGGTAAGGAAGACCCCACTTCCATTTTATTTCAAGATCTACCAACAGTTTGTGGCTGCCACTCCTCTTCCTCCTCCCTGCCACAGCACCAGGGGCACCGCTGGCAGCTCCTCACGGGGAGGGATCAAAAGCACCTTTGATGATCTGGGCTGACGTGATGTGAGGGAGATTTTTCAACTGGGTCACACTTGGTGGATTCAATCAGGTTGGAAAGCACTTCCCCTGCACTGAGTGCTCAGGAATGTGTTCTTTAAAAAGCTCTTCCACACTTCTGGCTGTGCATCTCGATAAACTCCGATTTCCCTGCAGAGGCAGCCTGGGATAATTACTAAGTGAAAACTGATCTTAGCAGGAAATCAATCACTGGCCATTTCCTAATAAAATCAAACCCTGTTTGAGTGGAATTAGACCTTTGAAATTGTCCAGTCCTGCTTTTCCTGTTCTGGCACAAGACCCTCTATGCAGTTTTTCAGGAGAGCGGGCACATCCTGGTTTAGCACCTGCAGATTTCTGCTACATCACATTTTGAGGGTCACAACCACAGAGAGCCAACCTCCTCTGGGAACAAACACAAACCCAGGGATGTATTCCATGATTTTTACCAGGAGATGAGATTGAAATCAGTGGTCAGAGAGATTTGTGTCTTCCCTCCATGAGAATGGCCAGACACGAGCTGGGTTTGGTGGTTCCTGGCATGGTCTGGCTTAGAGGGGCTGCTCCAGCTGAGGGGAGGATTGGAGGGCAACCTTTAAAAAGGAGGAATGGCCACTGCTGGTGTTGTCCTGGCTCGGTTTCTCCTCCATCTGGGCCAACCTGGCATCTCATCCACCTCCGAGCCGGGGCGTGGAGCTCCCTCCCGGCATCTCCTGGGAGTGCTGGTGAAGAAAGCACTTCCAGGAGAAACCAGGAGCTCTGTGCCAGCCAATTCCAACAGCACCAGCTTCTGGGGGAGCCCAGGGACAGCCCCCACTCCCACCAATCAACCACGCCAGTCCCAGAGCTTCTCCTGCTCTTTTCTCCACGGGGACAGGGGAGAGAGGGCGTCCAGGTGTCCCCAGCAGGTGATTCCAGACTCCCAGTCACACAGATGCAGCTCTTCCCTTGATTTCCACATTGCATTGGCATCTCTCACGGGGTAAGTATCG